TCTAGTATGATTAGAATATCATACTTCCACATTAGACAGGTCAAGTATCACTGCTTGCTCCACCTACCTACCCTCTGCACCTCACTGAACTGAGTTACAGCTTATACAGAGAATTAAGGACAAGCACATTAACAGAAATATTTCTTTTCTCTTTGTTGAGGTGGTAGCTAAGTGCCATTAGCCCACATTCTGCTCTAGAAGACCAGAGTTGGGATATCTGCCATGAGATCTGCATGAGCCTCTGCAGAGGCTCTCAACATGACCTTAACAGCCCACAGTGTGGATAGCAGCAGATCTGGTGCTGAGGCCCAGCCTGGATGGGTGCTTTGTTGGATGCATGTCCTCTTTACTAAGCTCTCTACACTGTGCAGCTTACAGAATGAAAATACTTTATGGATTATTAATGCCATTGCTGCTATTAAGAATAAATAACGGTTATAGAGAGAGCATCATGACAGAATCCTGGCCTTATTTGAAGGGAGGAAGAAAAGCATGGGAGTGGTCCCATTGAAGGGAAGATCTGTCAATAGCACAGAGAGCTAGAGGTTTGCAAAAGCTGGGCTGGACCATGCTTCTCTATGCTCTGTAATGCCCTGAACCAGAGGGGCACACTCACACCACTGGTCCCCACTCACTCACTCCTCTTCAGTAAGTTATAGAGCCCAAACATTTCTCATTCCAAGACGTTGCACAGCTCAGGATGTCCCAGTCAGTAGCCAATACCTAAGCACCCAGGAGGAACCAACCAAAAGGAATCACTTCCCATTTTCAGCCCATGCACCCATGTTTTTTTCTCGCTCTTTCGGTACCCGAGGAAGATAAGATAGTTTGCATTACCACTGATGCCTCCAGTATGCTTCCTCCCTGTGTTATCCTTGCAACTGTTGGTGGGCTCAAGAGACACAGGGCCAAAACCCTCAGAGACAGATTTTTTCTAAGAGGAGAAGGTGTTGCCCATTATTTACTCTACGTTGCTTCCCATGGAGCAAAGTGAGGCAGCCTGCATTGACCCACTGACAACTCCCTGCTTTCACTAGGATCTCACCAATGAGGCTTGGGCCAGCTCTTTCCAGCGTGCACATTTTAAGCAAGAGACCTCAATCCATAACAAGGGACCTGAATGCAGCATCCAAGTGTGAAAACATTGGCCGCTGTCCCATTTACTGAAAGAGGAATATTAGTACCAGCTCACCTCTGGGAAGCATACGGAGCACCTCCGATTTATTATTTGTTTTATTTATTTTGTCACATTTATCAGCCATTCAACTCTCTGGGCACACAGCCCATACATTAAAACCCAGAGTATAATATAAAGATCTCCTCTATTGTGAGCACATCCTTTCTGAAAAACCAGGCATGGCCATGAGGGAAGGATGAAGGATGCATTACACATGCAAAATATGACAACAATATGTTTTTCTCCAATTCTGTTATTGATGGAACCATTCTGAAAATGTTGGTGACATCAAAACAATAGGATGAGGGCAATAAAAAGCAGGAGGGTGGAAAGCCATGCTGGAGGTTGGGCATCTAGACAGCCTCTAATCAGTCTCTCTCATGCTCAGGAAGTCCCTAAAATGCTCTTACCATTATTATTTCTCTAATGACCTCATCAGACACACGTGAAATTCTGAGAAGCCTTAAATGTTGTAGAGATCCACAACGGCAAATCTGCCCAGTTTTTCTGAGAAACAGCAAGCTGCGATGATGAATGCTTTAACACTGCAGCATCTCGATGTGTAATTTATTTGCTGGAAATTAATTGCATATGCTGGTTTCATTTTTCTGTAGCAAATAATCAGTTTTGCTCCTTTTTTAATTAGGTAGCAACATAGATTCCTCTGCTGATCATGGCACAGTGGTTTACACATCACATCTTATTCTAAGGGAGACCATTTCAAATCATTGTTCAGGACCTACCACAACTTTTGGGTGGCCTCACATTCTTTGTCAGCTCTAACTCCTGAGTCAGTACTGATGAAGACCCCATGCACCCACCATCTAGAGAACCCAATCTGGGTTTTGGTGGATGTTATACATCTGCCATATGGGAGCTGGAAGAAACTCTACAGAGAAAACAAATTAAGGATCCTGACATTTCAATGGTGTTGACATGATGTCAGGCCCAGGCACTGCTTTGTTTCACCAAAAAGCGTGTCCCATGGGCGGATATTCACTGATCCTTGAGCTGAGACACTGGATTGACATTAGCAGAACTTCATAGACTAGAAGCTTCCACATCATCTGTGCCATTAATGGGTTTGGTCCACATCAAACCAGCACCTTTGCCAACTGGAAAGGCTGGAGCAGCAGGACAAAGCCCCAGCTGAGAGCTCATTTTCCCCTTATATTTGGCAGCTGAACAGGGCTGTCTGGCACACAGGGCAGGACAAGGTGGGGAAAGCCACCTCTGCTGACATTTGCAGGAGAAAGCTAATGGACTGCAGCAGCTGCTACTTAAAATTTTCAAGTAGGCTGACGAGAATAAGAAACTATGAGGTTTGGCTGCTATTGGTTACTCTCAGCAATAATTTCTATCTTAATTAATTCTAATTAAGTGATAGTGTTCAGTCATATTTACCCTTTATTGGGCTACAAGGAGCCCATATTTCTACTGAAATATGCGCGACCGAAACAAAACAAATCTATCAGTGAACGAACGCTGCTGGGGTGAAATGAAAAATATTGATTATCATCGCTATTAAACCATGAAATCCTCCACAACTAATTAATCTGCCAGGGAAAAAGTTTGTTAGCGGCATTTCTGCTTCCTGCCGGCAACCTGACAAGCAGGAATCACCAAACACTCGATGGCTGCCACCTGCCCCTGAAAGTTTCCCCGTTCCTTAGCTCCCCGCAGCAGGCGGCGGGGAGGTGAAAAGCAGCCCGAAAACATGCCTGAGCGCTGAGGTTTGGCGCTCATCAGCTCTGCCCTGCTTCGCTGCCTTCCGGCTCCTCCGCGCCGCCGTGCCCGCCTCCCTCCACGCCCGCCCTTTCCGCAGGGCTCGCTGCGGGGTCCCGGGCGTGCCCGGCCTCGGGGGCGCGCAGCGCGGTGCCGCCGTGCCCGCGCCTCTCCCCGCGCCCGCGCTCGGCGGAGCTGTCCGCGGCTCGTGGTGCTGAAGCCGCAGCGGCCGCCCAGCCCTTTCCTCCGCCCCCCTCCCTTCTTCCCCGGCGTGGGCTCTTGCAGGCAGCCGGCAGCCTGGGGCATCAAAGGCTGGGGAGGGCCCCATTCCTCCCTTTGATTCTCCCCCCCACCCCACCCCGCCTTTTTGGTTCTTCCACCGGGAGTTTTGTTTTTTTTTTTTTTTTTTTTTTTTCGGGAAAGCCGGGGGAGGGAGGAGAGCGCAGCCACGTTACACCCCTCCCTTCCTGCAAATCCCCGCTTGCACTGCAAACAATCTGCCTTCCCCATTGCATCCAAGGGAGATAGCAACAGCAACATCATCACTGCAAGCCGGATGGGAGCGCAGAGAGGAGGCTGCTGAGGGAGAAAGGCACACACGCACACACCAGCTCGATGTTGCCAAAGCGGCAGGAGCCGCACGAAAAATAAGCCATGCTGCTCGGTGTGTCTGGCGCATTGTGCTCTATCAGAGCCTTTTAGGAGGAAGAAGAGAATTACCCACACCGATATTTTTTTTTTCCTGCCTGCGAGAGTGCGACAGACTTGCGATGGTTGAATGTCAATGCCTATGAGAGAGAACAACAGTCAGAGGAGGAGGACAGAAGGGGAGGAAAATGAAGGTGGGGATGGTGGTGAAGAGAAAGAAGCACCCTCATCCAATGCATCAAAAGGAAGTCCCTGCAATTGCTGATAGAGCTCTGGCTGCCTCACCATCTACAATGGTCTGTACAAGCTGCCAATGCGTTTGATGACGTTCATGTTTTGTGAAAGGAGGAAAGGAAACGTGACCATGTAAGATCCACGTTTCTCCGGTCAATTACATGCGAAGAATAGGTCTGATTTCGACGGTTCTTTTTTTTTTATTTTTATTTTTTTTTGGTCCAGGATGGTAACTGCCTAGGGAATAATACAGCCGCCTTTCCTCACCAGTTTTGCTCTGATATTTTTAATTTTTTTTTTTTAATTTATTTTTTGGTGTGGTCCAGACAGCTGCTGGAATAGAGAAGGTCAGAATATACAAATACGTATAATATATATATATGATATATATGATATATATTATATATATAAATATATTTATCTCAGTACATCTGAGATTAAGCTCATTGAATGCTAATTATTTCTTTCAGGACTTTTAATATTTACAGTGAAATCTTTTAAAGGCAACAGTACATTCTGACGCCACCTGGGAGTACAGTGTTGGAGACGTAGGGTGTTTTCCCATAAACAGTGTGAAGGTCTTTTTGTTAAAGAGGCAATTTTGATATTAACAGCAGCTACCCATTTTGCATTTTGATAGCCAGACCGGCTGCTATTTTGTTCGGGTACACACCAGGTCTCGTGCGACTGAGTTTTATTTTATAATTGAAAAAAAAAAAAAAAGAAAAAAGAAAAGAAGAAAAGGAAAATTACTTGAGATGCCAAATACTGTCGAGAGGACCATATTCTCCCTCTCCCCCACACCCACTGGAGACGCGGACCCTTCTTTTTTACAGGCTTAGAGTCGCCGGAGCCGAGCTGGGCTCCCTCCGGAGCGCCGCACAGCACCGTGCCCGCGCCCCCGGACCCCGCGGCGTGGGAGATTTCTTCCCTCCTCCCGCTGATTTGCAAACAAACTTGTGGAATCCGCCCCGTCCGAGGGGGAGGGGGATAAAATCCCCCCGGGGAGTAGAGTGGGTTTCGGTTTTTTTTTATATTATTGCAAGATTTCAGCGGGCTGCCGGGGATCTCCCCCTTCTCGCCCTCTTTTGTCGTTTCTCGGCCGGCCAGCGCAGCCCCCCGCAGCACTGAGGTCTCAGCAGAGCCCCCCGGCCGCGGGGCGCCCGGCTCCTGCCCTTTCTTTCCCACCTCATCCCCGCCTGTCAAGGAAAGGCACATGTTAATACCACCCGGCGCGGTCATTTTCTGTTACTGCTGCTGCGGGCTCCTCCGTCCGAGACAGATGTTGCGAAACCAAGGCCTCCTCAAGTGCCGCTGCCGCATGCTCTTCAATGACCTGAAGGTCTTCCTGCTGCGGAGACCCCCCGCGCCGCCGCCGCCCTCGCCGCCGCCGCC